TATGGGTGTTGTATGGAAACCAATTTGACAATAAATTTCATATATAAATAAAAAAAAATAAATAAACAGTAAGCTTGCATTGTTAAAAAAAATGGAAGTTGTTTGTTTTTTAAACCATTTTTTTAAAAATAAGTGAGTTTAATCTAGTGAAAGGGATTTTCTCCATCTTCTTTAAAAATTGAGATGTTTCTATATTTCAAGGTTAAACTAAATTAATATTATATTCTTCTCACTTCAGGAAAAATCCATGCATTTGGAAGCACCTTAGGGATATGCATTTTATTATTTGAAGTTTGAATGCCTCATGTTTTCTAATCTTTAAATAAAGTATAAAAGCAAATTTAAAAATTTGCTGATAGATTTCTGTCTTGTGAGAAAGATGAAACTTCATGGAAAAAATAATAGACCCTTGTTCTAATCACATAGCTATGATCTCTTCAGTAATGTTGATTGAATTACTTGTGCATGTTATTGACAAAATGCCTTGTATCACTATTCTAATATTGCTATATAAAAAATAAAACTTTAAATAAGTTTGTTTATGGGAATAGAAAAATAAGACTACTATTACTTATATTGCCTATTTGTAAATGCTAGTAAATACAAACCATCAATCGTTTTCTTCCTCCAGATGAGGGGTATGTCTGATAAATCACTCCGGCTAGTGCTGTCTACCTTCAGCAACATACGGGAAGAGCTTGGACATCTTCAAAATGACTTGACAGTAACACTTATTTTAATTTTTCTTTCCAAAGACTTACTAGTCCTTACCTTTCTAATGTAGAAATGAAGTCATTTAATCTACCTTGCAAAATTCAATACAATGCAACAATATTATGCTCATCTAGACATATATTCTTGAAACAGTTACTTGGGGTTGAGAGAGGAAATAAAAGATCCCCAATGTCAAAATGAAAAAAGTTGGGTATACACTTATTATTTAGTTTGACACAAAGGTAATTTGATACCTAGAGCCAGGAAGTAGCTTCCAAAATTAGAATAGTCTAACCCATTGAATGGGAATTTCCCCTTTTTTCTGTAATAATAAAGCATACTTTGAATTTCTTAGAATACTTGAAAACTCCTTTCTCCAAGAACTTAACCTTTTTAGTTGGTGGTTTTGGTGCCATTATCTAAATATATTTAAAATACCTTGAGCCTTTTTAGTTGGCATTTTTGGTGGCATTATCTAAATATATTTAGAATATCTTGCATACAATGAAGCCTGGAGTGGGTTATTTCATTTCTGGGTTCTGATGAACACATTTAGATTATAATTTGAAAATTCACCATCTGCTGGGATTAACAAAAAGTCTTTGTAGATTGGGGCAAACCATTACAATAATTTGAAGGTTCTGCTTCATTGAACTTAGAATTGGTTCATCAAATGTCTCTTAGAATGCAAATTTTTAAAGTTTCATCCATTTGTATCCTATATTTTGCTTGATTTTTTAGAATTATGTTTTATTAGACAGCTGCAAATGAACCAAGTGTTTATTTAAGGCTTCAAATATAAACAAATCTTTGTATTATGTGATTGTTGACAAGTTCTGAATTATAACAAATAATTTTGCTTCTAGGCACTGGAAAATGACAAGATAAGACTTGAGAAAGACTTGGCATTCAAAGAAACTCAAATAAAAGAGTATGAAGAACTCTTGGCATCAGTGAGAGCAAATAATCGCCAGCAGCAGGTAAGTTGATATTTTCATTGATGATAAAGTAGATTGATAGATTTTCATATGCACAATTATTGACACATTGTAGTTATGACATATAATACAGACAGAATTAAAATATGATGGAACAATTTATTCATATGAGACTTGAGTGGCTTTGGTTATTTACAATGACTGAAAGACTTCTCATAAGAACAGATAACCTTGTATGATATAGATATAAAGTATATACAACCCACAATTATCTGTGCTGTTGGGAGACAAAAATTGTATAAATATTGAAGAGGTAAGTTCACTCATTCATTTAATCTACTAATATGTTGATTAAAAAGGTTCTGTAGTCTCAACACATGTTTGTGCAGTGAATAAATGAATAAACTCTGGAAGTATTATCCAGATGTCTGAGCAGAGATGATTCCTAAGAAATTGTTATGAGTCCCTAAGGCTCATCCCTTCCTAATCTTCACTCCTATGACAGTCTCACATTTTTTCTCAGTTTCCACCTAAATAATCAGGTATATCATCATTTTGGTGCCTATTAGAAGGCAAAATATTGTCAAAGAGTAGCAAGAGTCAGATTGCTAAATTGGAACCCTGAAAATTTGTTCAGTCTTAATTCCTTCTCATTCAAGATAAGCATATCACACTAGGGGCAAGAATCTATTTTATGGCTGATCTAATTTACCATGTAAGGGTAAATATATAATGGAAAAATATTTGCTTTATTTCATTGAATTAATCAACTAAGAGAGTACTCTCCTCCAAAAAAGTAGATCCTTTTGTCTTATTTACTTGTGTCTTTTTTATAGCAAGGACTTCAAGACTCAACCTCAAAATGCCAAGCATTGGAAGAAAACAATCTCTCTCTTCGATATACATTATCAGACATGGAATATAAACTAAAAGAACTGGACTACTGTAAGCGTAATTTAGAACAAGAGAATAAAAATATCAGAATACAGGTATTAAAATTTTGTTTTAAATACACATTATTGCCTTAGTTATACCATTGTAATCCTAGAATTTCCAACAGTAAATATATGCATATCTTACATGTGTATATATCCCATTCCTCTTGAGAAAATATATGGACTGCTTTCTGATGATTTCATATGTGGTTATGTCTCATCTCACTGCCATTTGAACTATATAATGCAATTCCTAAACATCACTCTTGTTATTTCAATGCTTTGTTTAATCGTGTGATTTTCATCTTATAATAAGTCTTATAATATAATATGTATTTCCTTCATAACAATCCAAGTACGGAAAGTTATTTTGCCTTCTGTAGGTTTCTGAGACTTGCATAGGCCCGATGCTGCAGGTGAAAATGGATGAGATTGGCAATCATTACATGGAGATGGTAAAAAACTTACGAATGGAGAAAGATAGAGAGATCTGCAAGTTAAGGGTATGTTGATCCTCCAGTGCATAAATACACAGGTCAGCACAAAGTTTCTAATAAGATTATGATGGTTTCAAGTTTAAAGCTACAAAAAAATCAACTAAAGATAGAGTCGGGAATATGGCATAGAACCTTTTTTAAATACATATTACTGTGTATAGATATTGCTAAATTGTTTTCTAATTTAATCTTCTTAAATTTAATCACCTTAATTTAATCATGTTAACCTTATCTATAAAAGCAAAATAAAACATTAAGTTCAGTGTTTTGGTTTTTTATTTTTATTCATTTACTTTTAGTGGTTGGGAGGAACCCGTTATGATTTTGCTTACAGCATGCTTGTGCAGTCAAAAGCAACATTTGAGATTATCCAGAAAACCACAGTTTGATTTTTAAAAATCCTCACTTGACTTTGAAGGATGATACATAGCAAGAACTTTGTCAAGCACAAGGATAAAAACAGTGTTGAATTATGTACCTTTAATTGGCTTCAAAATTAGGATTATATTTGTGAGAATAAGTATATGTTACCTTATCTTGCAATTCTACATCAAATTGATTAATTCTTAATTTAATGATTCCTAAAATAGTTAAATATACTTAAATATTTAATGGAAAAACTGACCATAGGTTTTTCTCTCCAAATACCACCATAGAATTTTTTCCAAAAACCAAAATGAAACAAAATGTAGTTTGTTCAAAAGCCTACCAATTTTTCTAGAAGATTACCTTCACTTGTTTCTTTTTCATCTTAACATAACTAATAACACTTCAACTTAACATCCGTCTATGTACACATAATGTAGTGCAGAAGAAAATGGGTGGGGTTTGGAGTCAGAATACCTGTTTTGGAATTGCAGCTATGTTGCTTACTAGCTGTGGCACTTTATGTCATATAACCTCTCTGGTAATCTCATTTAACTATTTTGTGAGTAGGATTTTTTTAAAATTTTCTTAATGTTTATTGATTTTTGAGAGAGAGAGAGGGAGAGAGAGAGAGAGCATGAATGGGGGAGGCACAGAGAGAGAGGCAGACACAGAATCCAAAGCAGGCTCCAGGCTCTGAGCAGACAAATCATGCCAGAGGAATACTTTGTGAACTATAAATCACAATACAATATTAGTTATTATTAGTGAGTTTTCTTTAATTAATATCTGAAGGAATCTAAAGTACCTATTTCTTAGCTTTATTTTAATCTTTGTGCCCTAGGACTGCTACTTAAGTAATGCTTAGCCCTATATAGTAAAGACACCTTTAAAAAATGAGAAATTCTTATTGGCATTTTAATTCACATTTTTTATTCATCAAACTCTACAAATGTTTACAACTATTGGCACTTTGCTCTTCATTTCATAATTTCCTGTATGACTTTATGCCACTTAACCTCTTGGAACTCAATTACCTATTTTGTAAATCATATCTATAATAATTCTTATTTCTTTTTAATCACTAGACTCAATTAAATCAGTACCAAAAAGATGTTTCAAGAAGAGAAGGAACTTGCAGTGACTTCCAATTCAAGCTTCATGAACTGACAAGCTTGCTGGAAGAGAAGGATTCCCTTATAAAACGTCAGTCAGAGGTAAGAAGGGAAGTGATAGAGATGGAGAGGAACTCAGTTAGGTATGATAAATACTTCCCATGAATTAGACAAGGGCACGTTTCCAAGACTCACTTTATTCATTAAGTAGAATGTAACTATGAAGAAGAGCAACATTCATATTTGAAGAGATATAATTCAAATGAAAGCAAGAATTAAAGCAAAAAGAGTGCTATTGTGCATTTAATATTTGTACCTTTATATCTCATTAGCAGTGAAACTTCCAGGAAGACTGTGAGCTCTTTACTAGAATATTAGCTGCTTCAGCAAAGGACTGTGTTATATTCCTCTCTGTATCTGTAGCATGTGGTCCAGGATCTGTTATAAAATAGTTTATATTGAAGAAAGGAACTACCAAAAACGGTGGCTGATGTTATATTGTTGTTATTGAACTAATGGTGTTTGTAATAATGATCAGTGATAGATTTTCAGTTAGAAAATAATACCTGCTTCCATATTGAAGTTTTAGTGCTTTTCTGCTATGACTATACTTTTCAAACTTTTTAGGGCAAAAACTTTCACATCTTTGAGAACCATGTCCATTCAATATCATGTAATCCCTCAAATAAAGAGATCCTACACCAGTTAGTGAATTCCTGCACAGGCATATAACGTAACTTATTTGGCACCATAAAGCAATAATATAAGGTATTTAACAGATGGGATTAAAACACTCTTATGTCCAAGCTAAAGGGGGAGGAAAAAAAGTAATTATTCTTACTAACTTTATTAAATGATCAAACATGCTTCTTACCTCATGTTTCTACTTTTTTCAAATAATTATATTTTCTTTTATTTGTAAGGAACTCTCAAAATTGAGACAAGAAATGTATTCATCTCATAACCAACCCTCCAGTGGTGGAAAGACTACTATTATCAAAAAAAAGTAATGTATTTTTAAATGAAATTTGAATGCAACTTTGGTTATTATATAATCCAAGTTATAGCATGTTTAATTTATATATATATATATATATATA